GCTAGCCGGAGTTAAAACCACAACAGAAGGTTAAATTCATGTGAAGAAGTACAGTGATTTGTGAGCTACAAGGCATCAAAAGATTACTGCAGGATTACAGCAATGCTGTAAGATTGTAATGCATCTCTGATATCGAAACCAACCTACAAATGTTTTATCAGCTGCAATTTGTTGTAACTCTGAGACCAGTTTATTAATTGAGTTAAATTAAGAAAGTGAATCGATGTTGGATTTTTTCACTGTAACCGTTCTGTAAAGTGATCAGTATTTTTCACTAATCTCACTTTGGTTAAAAGGTCTGTCTTCAATGGAAGCATTTTACAAACATTTATAAAATAATTACATTTAGCCAAGTGATTTCCAGAGTCTGTGCCCTAGCACAAAGGCAGACATGGCTTTTACATTACTGAGAATGGTTTGTTGGTAGAGGACTAACTTCCCTAATGACACCCTCTTTGCATTCTTCCGCTGCATCAGAGGGACTCCACATTCTGGTCAGTGCTGAACTGTCAAAAACATCGTTTCTTTGTTAAATAGTCACTAATGTCTTAAAATTAGATTTGCAAACAGACATTTCTACCTCCAGTACATCTTTAAACATCCCAGCGCTGGCTGTTGCGAGCAACACGTGCCTCGTAAAGCTGAGGTTAGCCGGCTGAGGAGTTTGTAACAGGTCGGACAGTTGAGAATGGGACCTGGGAGTACTGGCTCTAAGTAATTTAAGCATCGTTACACAACTACAGAAAACCACCGGCCTGTCGCCAACGTTAACAAATTACGCGTGTGGTTTAGTAGGATTTTGCTTGGCTCTTCCAATGAGAAGAATTCTACCTAGATCAAACAACTCTCTGACAGCATTTTTCTTAGATTCACTGTTTGCCATAGCCAGTTCACTAAATGAACGCATCTTGTCTCACTTCGAGATGTTTAAACACTGTTACAAGCTGTGGGGAAGAAAACAGTGCGTGAAGGAGCTGCTTTTCTCGCTCTAGGAGTTGAAAGCTTCTCACCTTTTGAGGTGGAACTTCAGATACTTGAGGATGCTGCGACTTGGCAGGAACGTGCAACTCATGCAGGTGAGTATTTGCCAACTGTACAGGTTGCCCACGCTGCCGGGGTTCGGCACCTTGTTGGTCTGCTTGATGAGCTGACAGTAGAGCTCGTCTCGAAGAGGGCGTAAATCGTGCCCCGTTTGGAGGATACCTTGGATTATAGGGATGGGATCAGACATAGACTCCAGCTGCTGTAAAGAATTAAATATCTTGATGGCTTCGTCCTGCAGAGTTGTGTAGCCTTTGTCTTTCAGCACTACAAAAGGAAAATAGGGAGAAAGGTGCTTAGACTGAGATATGGAAGAGAATCACTCAGGCTTAACATAGGAATTGCTTGGAGCTATTTGGCTGTTATTACGCAGGATATTAGAATGGATCTTTTCCATTTCAAATGTATGATGCACACTCATTTTATGAGCTATTTTTCTATTGAGATTTGATCCGAATGTCACAAAATCCCGTTCTGACATTTTCTGACGGCACAACTTAACGCGTGTATCTTGCTTGATCAGAGGGTGTGTGATGGAGCATCTTCCTTCCAGAGCAAGGCACACTGCTGAAGTGTCTGTCACTTTTTCGCTGTCACAAGACAGTGAAAGTCTCGTCAGATGATAAGTGAGGTACAGCATGACTGTGCTACAGAAAGTGGCAACGGTACGCAGCACCACTTTTGTCTACAGCAGCAGCATCTCAACTAAACCCAAACAATGCTACTAAACAAAATCATTGCTGTGAAACTGCAACTTCCTTTTTGAGTGATGGAAAAGAAGGTGATTGGTTTGTGTAATACAGGTTGTTCAGCGTGGGCTAACAACATTCACAGTCCAGTTAAGAGCACCGTGCAGTTCTCGGGTTCAAGAAACGGAAGAGATTGCTCCGACGTCGGAATCAGTTAGGCCTACGCACCATCAAAGCACAGAACAGTACAAACGTATCTTACAAAGTTTCCAACCTGTCATTACATTAATACAGAAAATTACTAGACCTCAACTGCAAGTCAAGGCAGTAACTGAGCATCAGTTCATCTGTGCAGCCGTATTTGGGACAGAAGGACTTCGGCAAGACTTCCACGGCAGAGGAAGCGAGCCATTCATGTCTGAGGAGAAAAAAACACAACCAGCTCAAGTGCCGAGAAGACCAGAACTATGCCTTGCCACTGCACAGGAGGAAGGGGAAGAGAAGAGAAAGGTTTCTCCTAGGATTTTCCTTTTCCTTGTCATTAGAGCAGGAGGCTATCGCTTGAGTTATCAGGAAGTCTTACCTGAAATACCTTAGCTTTTAATCTACTGTGACCTCCCACCCTCCTCCCAAGGATCAAACTCCTGATCTGAGTCATATCTTGTTTAATGATAAAATAGGCAAATCCGCTTAAGGACAACAAATTCACAACCATCAGCAGCTCTGAACCATTAATTCAAAACAGACTTCTAAGTCAGTGACTGAGCCAAGGGTATTAAAAGACATGATGACACCTGTTTCAGGAGTAAATAAACCATTACTTTTTCAAATCACATCCACTCAAATGTTTTTTCCCATAAATAATGCTTCCCAACACAATGGATGAAACTTACACTTGATAATTGGAAGCTGTGGCTGCTGCAGCTCCCCGCATGGGGTAGGAAGCAACAAGGACTTGGGAATACAATTCAAGAAGCTGAATGAACTGGGCTTAGTCATATATATTCCAGAGCAAGGATTTTCAAACTCAGTGGCCTTAGCAGTGTTGCTGAGGGTAACAAACTTGTATCACAGCAGCGGCACCAATCTTCCATCTGTAAAGCCCGAGCAGGAGAACCACAAGCCCATGGCTCCGTTCTACACAAACTGCAATTCTCTACCTCCCATAAGAGAACAGGGAAATGTGTCTGTCTGTGTTATACACATGTATTTTGCCCAGTATTACTTCACTGTAGCCCACTGACTAGAAACTCGTGTCCCCTGGTTTAGTCTTTCATATGGAAAAGTGTTTGTATGCCTGAAAAACTTACAGTTCAGATTGATGTCCCCATACGGCAGTGGCAGCAGTGGCGAGTGCAATGGATGATGAGTGTAACGAAGAATAGGGTTCCTTTTATAAATCTGTTCAACCACATCAGCATTCAGGCAGTTTTCCTGGTGGGGTAAGAAAAAGAAAAGCATGATTCGGTTGGCCGTGAAAATATTAGCCATCAGTGTTACCGACACTGTTTGGTGCTAAATCCAGTTGTGGGTACTGAGGCTCCCACAGCGCTCCACGGGCTAGGAATGCTCAGCGTCTGCCAACCTCAGGCCTTTCATAAGCTCACTTTATCTCTGCAGTAAAAACCAAACCACAGCAGAGCTGCGGGATACCAAAATACAGTTTCATAAAATGTTTTTGAAGCGTGTAAAAAGCCGTTTTACAACCTTTTTGCTCCAGTATTTTGTAATGGGAATTAAGACATCTTTCATTTAAAAATATTTCTCCAGCATAACTCATTGGCCTTTTCAGTTAGAATCTGCAGGAGTTACCAAAACAAAATAGTCCGGAAAAACTGCTGCTGTAAACCTGATGCACCCACTCTGGCGTTTCAAAACTGTTTGTTTTTAGGTGCTGTTTAACAGATCTGTGACCACCGTCTTCTTATCAATCCTCACCAACCAGGCCTGCCAACCCACGAGCCCGCACACCGCGCTCCACCGCCTGGTATAGCAACAGCCTGTCAGGTTACACAAACTGGTAAAACCTGTTACTGTTTTAATGGAAAAAGTCACCTCCTTGCCCTCCAAGCTGCACTTTGCACTTTGTTCTTTTAGTGTTGAGACAGAAATTCCTTTACCTGGCCAGCGACTACATTCAAGTTCCACAATTTCAGCCCATATCACTGTGTGATTAAAACTCACGTTTTCTGCTTTATTACTCCCCATGTCAAAGCCAACTTAAAAAAGAGACTGATTTCAAATATGTAAGCAACCGTTCTTTCCCACCCCGTGCCCTGCCTGGTTGTGCCTACCTTAATATCCTGAATAAGCTGCTGAGTCGGTGTGTCGATCGGCGCTTTTGTGTCAATCACGTTCTGGATGGCGCTTGACCAGCGGGTCGCCTCGTTAAGCAGCTTCGTATAGAGACGGTAACAGTGTTTGCGTCCGTATACGGTTACGTTCCAATAACCTACAACAGCAGTACAGATTATTAATCACAGAAGCTGCATCCATAAAAATAACCCCAACTTCTATCTGAAAACAGCTGCCGTCCCATCAGACCGCGAGGGCTGCATTCCGGATCACGCTGGCAGTGGTTCAGGAACTAAGTAGTTGTATGGCCAATTAAGTATCGTAATACAGGTACTACACTACTAAAGGAGACTCTCTCCTTGAGAACAGCCCGGGAGTAATCTCAGAGCGCAGTAATTTTAGTAAAAGTGAGCACAGGACAATGCTATGGAACACCCACCGTCACGCAGCTTCCCATTTTATCCAGTAATTTTAGTAAAAGCGAGCACAGGACAATGCTATGGAACACTGGCTGGCTACTTGTGGGCCCTACTTCTCCAGTCCCGTCGGTAACAGGAAAATCTGAGCCAGCCTTGCTTGGCGCGCGCGAGCCTTTCATCACCTACGGCACGCGTGCGAGCAGGTATAAAGCACCGACTACCTCTTCGCTGAAAAAGTCATTAATTTCACACCAACGAAGTGGCAACCGTGACAGGAAGAGCATCTCAGTTCCAATCCTCTCTGCAATGCTGTACAGGCTTTTTATGAAGCAGATTCAATTAAAGACGTTCTATTCCATTGTTTGCTAGCAAAGGCCTCTTTGAAGTGTCAGTGACACTGATGGGATTATACAGGACTGTTAACAGTCGCTTCTCATTTGCCAACAGCCACTTCCAAGTTGAAAAAACAGTTTTGAAAAGGCACAGGGGAGCTGACTCAGATGTGGTATGTAGGTTAGCACAAACTGGACTATTATTCTACATCTCCCTATACTTGCTCCACCAGTATTAGTCCTCACAGTTCCTCAACAGGTAAAATAATGTACGAGGAGAGCGCTACCCCTATGTCTTTCCTGGGTCTTTGATGTGTTAAGTGTTCACACTAAGTTAGGAGCAGTGTCAGTCAATGATAACTTGAATGTTGGTGAGAACAACTTTTACTGCTGTACACATTATTTCTATTTTTCATCCAGTACTTCCCTGTAAAACGCCTCAGAGACTTAGAAACCTGATTTGGTCGAACTACAACTGTAATAATGCATCAAAAATGTTGTTATGCACTGTTTGCTGCATTCCTAGGTAGGCAGGACAGAAGGGAATGGAGAACATATTTGGGCAATTACCCGTCTCTTTGAAGATCTTTTCATCAGGTGGGACCACTGAGCAGAGGCTGTTTAGGACCAGTGTACCCAATTTCAAAGCATTTTTCTCCGAACTCTTGTAGTAGTCCAGAGAATTGTGCGTCAAAACAAACCAACGCTTCTTCAGTTTTAATGAAGACATCTTGGGGTTGTTTTTTACTTCCTTGTGCAGCCATCCTGTTAAAGACACAATTTGAAGAACACTTTTTAAGAGCTGGGCAAAATTAAGTTGCTATAATTTAGTTGTATACTTTTGCACCAACAAAAACATGCTGTGAATAGTTTACCATTAAAGAATGGATATAGACCGGTTGGAGCGAGTCCAGAGGAGGCCACGAAGATGCTCAGAGGGCTGGAGCACCTCTGCTATGGGGACAGGCTGAGAGAGTTGGGCTTGTTCAGCCTGGAGAAGAGAAGGCTCTGGGGAGACCTTATTGCAGCCTTCCAGTACCTGAAGGGGCCTACAAGGAAGCTTGGGGGGGACTTTTTACAAGATCCTGTAATGACAGGACAAGGGGTAATGGGTACAAATTGAAAACAGGGAGGGTTAGATTAGATATCAGGAAGAAGTTCTTCATGGAGAGGGTGGTGAGGCACGGGAACAGGTTGTCCAGAGAAGCTGTGGATGCCCCATCCCTGGAGGTGTTCAAGGCCAGGCTGGATGAGGCTTTGAGCAACCTGGTCTAGTGGAAGGTGTCCCTGCCCATGGCAGGGGGGTTGGAACTAGATGATCTTTAAGGTCCCTTCCAACACAAACCATTCTGTGATTCTATGAATTTTGAGTAAAATTCTCAAACAATCACATGATGAGGGTATTGTACAAAATCCATACAGAACTTTTCTACTTTGGTGTTTACCGAGAAAAATTCTTCTGTCAACTTACAGAAACGCTTTTATCATCATTACAGTGTTTTCTTAGATGGCACAGCAGAAGTGTAATTCCAGCTGTGTTAATTTGTGTGTGAACTCCACAGTACAAGGATGAGGCTCCACCACTGCCGTGCAATGCTGGCACATTACCCAGGCTGTGTCGCGGGAACAATCTCTTCGAAGCTTAATGAACATTACCTGCTTTGTTGCTGCCCCACTCAGTTCTTACCCCTCACAATGAATTCTTGTCCCTCCACTCTCGTGTCCCCCTTCGACCTTTGCAGCAGCGTTATCCAGTGATGCATCTCTTCAGGAGTGTCAGCGTTACAGTGAAGCACACGATTAGCGGTGATGATCACAAACGAGTTGGGCCTGCGAAAATAAACAAAGATCGGAAAAGCCTTTACAATCAACATACGTACTGTTCACTTCACTCACCGTAAGCACTATCCATCGTCTGCATTTTCTATCCAGACAAATACTGTCCACCTAAAGTATTTATTTCAACACCATCAAACCTATAAAAAAATTAAGCATTTGAAAGGACTCAGCTACGTTGAATTCACACCAAAATACTGAGGCTCCAAATGGTGGGAAAGTTTAAATTGCAACTTGCCCTGTCTCAAAATAAATCTACAGTGAGAAAAACCTCCGATCCTTAATCAGCTTTGGATGTGAATCAGAATTCCGTTTCAGGGTCAGATCTATTTAGAGTGTGCTTCAGTAGTCACATCAGCTAACACCAGCTTCAGTTCACAAAGGCCTGCAGTGAACACAGACTCTTTTATTTTTAATGCAGTGCAACCCAATTCGCAGAGGGTACAATCTATTTTTAATGAGGGTCTGGCTTTCACCCAGTCCTACACCAGGATCCCCTGAAGCGTGAAGAACTAGCCCAAGTGAACTGTGCTGATGGCTCTCTGGATGAGAGAGGCAGGTTCTTCAGCCTACAAACACTTGCTTTAACCCTTTACCATCAATATTTTCATCCTGGAACACACACAGTTTTTAAGACCTGTATCAGGTAGAAAATGGGAACAATACAGTCCGGGCCACCCCACGCACGGGTAGGTCAGGGGCCTTCTTTTTACCCTTCTTGCAAGAAGGTAACTAACTGGGTAGAAATCGGAATCAATCAAAAAATTGTTCATGGGGATGGAGAGCCCCACCCAAATATGATACCATTCTCCAAAAACATGTAAAAGCTAGATGGACGACAGGATGAAGAAAAAGGGAAATAAACTGATTAGGAGGTAAAATTAGAATACCGTGTGAAGGGAGATTACAGTAAATGAGGTAACATGAGAAACATCTAAGTCACCTTAAAAGTTACCTAAGAGTTATTTGTCTACAGCTGGTGCTCACCAGTGCCACAGCAAGGGGTAAGGGAGCGATGAGAATCCAAATGCTTCGGCACAGGCACCGTGGAGCTGAAGCGCTGCCTTGTTCAGGAAGGGTGGTGGATGAGGAAACAAGTGGGCATGTGAACTGAAGAATTTTGTTGACCACATTTTTAAAACGTGTGAAGAGGAGGCGGCTTCAGGCTGAGCTACGTGAAGCACACTCTGGAAAGCTGGATAATGTGATACGCGGGACAGCAGCTACAGAGGAGCTGTAGCAAGAGAACTGAAAAAGGAGAGCGCTAAGGTATAAGCTACGGTAGATCAAGCTATCAAACAGGGGGTTATGAAAAACAGTAGCCAACCTTCCAGGCTTCCCTCTCCTCCTTCCTGGTTCAGGAAAATAATGGAAGCCTCGTTCCTGGGATTCTTTCTGAATAGAGGTTCAAAGGGCTCTCTGCTCAGCTTCTCTCTTTTGAGCTCGCAATTGTATGTTCATGTGTGTCAAGGTAAAAATAATCTATTGCCTGTAGTAGTCAAATTTGTTTCCTAATTGAAAAACCTGCCATCACTGATTTAGACTCAGAGAATTAAAAAGAAAAAGTACAAGAAAAAAAAAAAAGCTGTGTGAAAAATGCTTACAGAAGAAACGCCTTTCTCACTTAAAAACCTTGAAAGGTCTGTGCATCAGTGTTGTACTGTTTAGGAAACCTGGGTTTACAATCGCAGTTACTTGTGGTATCGGGGTCTTGGCAGGCCAAAGACAAACCAGTCACCCATCTGTTCCCCACACGTGCAATGAAGAGACTGGAGTGAACTCCTACAGTACAAATAATACACCACACAGCCAGTAATCCATCACAGCCTAAGCCCAGATTACTTTTTATCCCCCAAAACACTGTTATTAGTTCAAGAACTAAGAATACCCTGACAGTTATTTTTTATGCTGCATTGTCTTCTTCATTACAAGATGTTTTTATTCTGGGAAATAAGTCTCATCCCTGTAGAATACAATGTTCTTACACGAGAAGCTGAACAAAAAAATGTTAAAATGAATTTTTTCTGCCTACTCTAATGCTCGAAGGCTGAAAAATAAGATGCTCTTTTACAGGAGCATTACTTGTATAAATAAAAGAAATATTTAATCTTCTACTTTTGGATCCTTTTAGTACCTGAACAATTCATATATGAAGCAGTGTCAGGAAAGTTAGTGAAGCCTCCCCCACAAAACCACCACCATTCCTATTCCGTGTTTTAACATGTGGTGTTTAGTACTATGAAAAGGGAGGCAAAATGAATCATTTCAGTGCATGGTCGGTCAGTAGAACATAAGGACTGAAGTATAAAGCATGCAACTTTGGCTAGAGAAAGCAAAAAGTCACCAGGCATGGTTGTGACTTACCTGTCTGGATTGTCAGCAGCACAGACAGAATCAATTAGTCCTACATCGAGTGTACCCTATAAGCAAATATCCAAGCAGAAAAGGAGGAAGACATTTACTATTACATTACTCACAGTACTCTTCTCAGGGACAGGTGAAAGGATTAGCAGCTTTGATCAAGCCAAATGAACTGCAGATTGGGACATCAGTTTCTCTTAGCCATTAAAACTGCTGAGGAGAAAACTAAGAGACTCAGACAGATCCATTAGAAGATTATCTCTAGCTAAGCTGGAGGCAGCTCAAAAACTGCTCTTGTTTTTCCATGCTTCCAAAATGTCCTTGAATGTTTCACCTAAAAGCCCCATCCCAGTATCAATGCCACCCTCTCAGAACAAACTTCTGAAACCACGAAGCAGAAGTTTTTATTTCCCTTTGCTCGATACTAGGTTCCACATTTATCCCATTAATTCCCAGTGCATGCTGTGCAGAATGATAAATGCAGGACCAGAGACATCTCAAATTTTCATTTCCTGGGTTTTTAATTTACTCGTCAACTGTACCTTTGCAAAACTTCAAACTCAAGCATACACTGTCATGTGACAGGGAAGTGGATCAGAAAAAAAACCCCGAACCCTCAAAACACCACTCGTATTTCACCGAGGTGAATGACGGGAGAGGAATCGAAGTCAGACTCCCTCTTGTACAGTCACAGGATCACGGACGTGGAGCCTCTAGCCAGTGTCACTGCTACCACCACACTTAAGGAAACCTAGGTTGTGACTCTCAGAAGCTGTGGCCACCACAGTGCCCTTTGTTTTCTAAACACGTTGGCTTTGAAAAGCTCCTTCAGGTTTAGACTTACCACGGCATTCTGTGGATTTGCCTGCTCATCGTGCATCTCTCGGATCTCTTGCTCTGTGGACGCGTGGACCTGACTCAGTACGCTGAACCACTGGCTGTGGAGAGAAAGACAGCAGTGTAAGTAAAAAGTTGCTTCTGCACAAGCCTTCTGTCACCTTTGTTCTGCAGAGATCTAGCAGGTTCCGCAGCTTTGTGAAATTGCTTAAGATTCCTTTTGTCCACCTGCTGCATAAAAGCAGCAAGGCTTTACGTCACTTCAAGTCATACTGGGTCCAAGCAAGCCCCTCCAGAGCTCCTGTCCAAGCTCACCTCACACCCTTCTTCCTGAAGGCACAGACCTTGTACAAAAGGTGGCATCTCTGAGAAACTGAAACCTCTGAGTGCTTAGAGTGTTTGTAACACATTCCACACGTTTCATTTGGAAAAACCATGCGTTTCTACCTGCACCCAAAGCCTTTAATGGCAAACCCAACCGTCAGATTATAAACTCCGCTGTGCCGACAGTGTGACCGGTACTAGTTTCTTACAACAGTACTTCTGCAGAGACCACCCAAGTCCATCAAGTTCTCTGCAGAAGCACAACAGAGAAGGGAGAAAGAATAAAATCCCCTAGCAAACACCTCTATGGTTTTTGTTCCCTATGGAGCACTGGAAAATCCAGCTGCTGGAAGGACCAGTGAAGTTGAACCAGAGCCAATTAGAGCCACTCCAGTGGCCTTGTTTATACCCACAACAGGAAAACTGGCAGAGAGGTTTCCACCGCTTCGGCCCTCAGTGCTGAGCAGCAGTTGCAGAAGGATTTAATTCCAACCACAACTCCTGCTTCTGGGAAACCTCTGCCCTCCTGGCACTTGTGTATGATAAAGCTCAACTGCTCTAAGCAATCCCACTGAAATCTGAGGGCAGAGCTTGGCCTGTTTGGCAGGTTCCTGAATGCCATTCTTTGAGATATGAATTTGCCATTCTAACAAAAACCACTCGGGGCCAAGTTTTCAAAGGGCTCCAAAGCCCAGCCTTTAAAACAGACTCCTCGCTTTTTGGCAGAGGCATCTCCACCGCCACCAGACTGAGGAGACGAATGCAAAACCACCGGCTTTCGGTGCAAAGCTCTCTTGCCTGCAATAGCTTATAGTCAGAATTCCCGCCAGTGACGCTGAAGCGCTGCCTCCTCAACTCCAGCATTCCAAAGCCAACGTTTCCCCATAACGCAGATATCGGGAGACCGACCTGCCAAAACGGCCTGAGAAAACCCGTGCAGTCTGTCAAACAGCACCAGCGCTGCTGTGCCATAAATCCTTCCTAACAGCTCACGCTTGCGTTAGAAACAATGCAAGGCATGAAGAAAAACAAAGGCTGAGAGTGCCTGACAATGAAGAAGAGAACAGATTTAGTCCTCATTCTCTCGTTCAGACTCAGAGATGCCCACAGAGAGGTTGCGCTTAACACTCACTTTGCTGGATGCAAGGCAACGTCACTGAAAAAAAAAAAAAAAAAAAAAGGGAAGGGTCATCTGAAGAGAAGGATCCATCAGCTGAAGAAAACTAAACCTCATCTACCAAAAGATTCCCACAAATTAGCATTCAGCTTGCCTTTTTGGGCCAGAGGATTGCAAACGTATTTAAATGTCAATCTTCTATTTAAAAAAGCAAACCAAAGGCTTCGTAACACCGTATGCACAGCTGGTAATAGTTTATGACTAGATTTTAAAGAACCAAACCCCACCTTTCGGGATTTCATGTATTCTTTGTCTAAACAATGAAAAACGAATTAAGCATGGCACTTTGCAGAAGACAAAGGCAGATTTGGCTCTCCTTTTGCTTTCCTCCCTCTCAGGACCCCCCCTTTGTTTTTCAGCTGAGTCCTAGAACCCAGGAATCGGGGGAAAAAAGACAGTCTAGCTGTTTGAAAGAAATAAACCTTCAGCAATGGCTGCCCACTGAAGCATTACTTCTTTCCTCAAACACACTTCCATGATCAAAATAGTAATTCCTCTTTTGTGGGGTTGTCAGGTTTCTGGTGCTTTTTCCTGTCATTTGAACAGACCAAGCAACCCCCGATCATGACGTAGCCCACGCACAGAGTATCTTTTTTAACAGCAGATCCGGAACCAACACAGTCCAGTAATTACGTACTTCACTTTTAACAGTGCCAAACATTATCGAGGCTTTGGCTCAAGCCCACCCCCAAATCCTTACACATCTCCCTCATTAAAGCTTTACGGAATGACTGGGAAAGCAAGGAAACGTGAAATACACCGCTAAAAAGTAATTTAGTCTGGATGGCGCGTTACGTGTGCTACACACAACAACAGTGCACAGTGTCTCCTCCTCCACCTTTGAGAAAAAAATGAGAGATATGCGTGACAGCAGACAAGTCTTTCTGCTGATAACTCCTAATTGGTCCCCAGGGCATGCACACAAGTCTAACAGAAGAGACTTCAGCTAAGCCTTCATTATAAAATATACTTGCATCACACAAGAATCTTAACAACGAGTAATGGTAAAGCTCACGCTTATTTCAAGGGCAATTTTGAAGATGTCTGAAAAATGAAGTAGGATTCTGCATTGTAAACATTCCTAAATTTATACCTGGGGTCCTGTGATCAAGGAAGGAATTACACCTTTAAAAAGAACAGAATACCAAACGACTTTCAAGGCTTCAGAGCAAAACTAGCTCAAGTGATGTTGACATAGGCCTCCTGTATTCTGGCCTTGGGGCAGCAAGGCAGTAGGTAATAAGCTTTGATTACTAAGTTCACTTTATTTAAATGCTTGATTTTTATGGGCAAGCATATTATGATCACGCATGAACTACATGTGTGGATTTTTTTAAAAAAAAACCCATGATGCACTACAACTGATCTGACAAGTCAAGCTTGCTCCTCTCACCTACCAGCCTGCCCTGACAGTCTGATACGGATCCTTCAGCAACAAAAGCAAGACCCTTTTTACATCAGCAGAAAGGGGGATACTCTGTTGCGTGTTCCTATTCATGAACACGCTTTTACCCTAAAATCCAGTGACCACATTACAGCTTTTAGCTGGGGGGGGGGGGGGGAAAAGTAGGCTCTGCTTAGGCAAACAGACCCCCAACCCTAAAGAACAGCACTGTATTTCAGTCAGAAATCCATAAAGACTGATGTAATCTACGCAGCGAAACACAGCAGGGTAACGATGGAGACAAGCATCGGTGGCTGCCACGCTACAGACATACTGTGTTGCTGAAAGTTGCTAGCAGTATGTGGGCAACAGCCAAGTTTGAGGTAAATTTTCATTGGCAGTTTGACTCTTCCCAGTCATGTGCTGCCACAAGATTTTCTTCTCAGCAGGCCTTTCGAAAAGTGTTAAATGAAACATGTTTAACACAGCCTGAATATTTTGTGACAGTGGGCAAACTAATTAATGACAAGCACAAGTCAGAATAGTGTAGAGGTTAAACGGGGGGTGAGGAGACCAGAAAAGAAAGAGACCTGATGATTTCACCTACCTTGCATCCTCGGGAGACTCAGCAATTAAGTGGTAGGTCCTATCCCCCATTATTAAATCAATACCATTTTCTTTTCCTGTATTATCAACAATCTCTCTGAAAAGAAGAAAACACCAAGATTAAGCATTAGATGGTCAACATTTTGAAAATTCTGCTCTGCCGAGAGGCTCACACACATCCCATATTTAAAATATCATCATTCAGCCTCCACAGGGTTCATTTGCAAGACTCACCGTGTGCTTTATCAGACAGTATTAATTCATCAACCTCTAGCCGATGTGTATTCTGCCCATACAGTACAAATAAATATTCAAACCACCATGAATGCCACTGCCCCAAGCTGACTGTTCTGTTGCTGTTTTAACAAGAACTATAGAAAAAGCATTATCAAAACTCGAGAGAGGCGAGGATAACTGAGCTGAGAAATGGATATATTTCTGAACTGATTGCATACCCAAGTAATTTTTGGAGTGGTAAAAAGAAAGCTCTTGAAGATTAAAAACAAAAAGCAAAGAAAACCTCGATTAGTGATTCTGTGTGGTTGTGAACCAGCATAAAGACAATTCCAAACATAAATTCCAGAAAAAGATGAACATACCTGCTGAAAAGTTACATCTTCCTAATTTGTGGTTCGGACATCTCAGTCTCGACATAGTATAACAATCATGAACCACAAAGCACAAGGTTTTTAAGGAGTAATTTAAGTCTCACATCAGGTTTTCCTGAAGCTTAAGAAATCAACTTGATTTCCTTTTGGATGTTTTACTGTGTTTCATGGAAGCTTATTATTTCCTTAACTAGCTATACTTCCTTATCAGCTATACTATTCTCATAAATCTCTACCCTATAAACAATCCTCTGCTTATCAGACTCATGAGGACAATTTATCTGCTATTAAAACAAAAAGCTGTAATTCTGTACTGTTTTCTTTGATTTGGTTTCCTTCCCTCCCAACAGCAGTGTATGGCAGAATATCTCCCTGCTCTGTGCTTTAAGTGTTTCAGCCCAAGATCTACTCAATTTGAACGGGGTCCCTAGTATGGAGTAGTGAAAATATGTAAGTCACACGATCTGCTGGGATATTAAAGTTGCCTAGAAAAGCTCTTGCTTCTTTCTTATGACATACAACTCTTTGAATACAAGTAGCCTTTCACTTTTAGCTATTTATACGCAAACTGTTCAAATTAGATTCAACAACCTTTACCTGACAATTTTACTTTTACAGGATGCAGTCAATGAAACAATGTGGTAACAAGAAATAAAGACGGTTTAAACATACTAGAAAAATATGCTAAATAAATTCTATGCTACATGAGACAGTCAAATCCAGTTTCAAAACAAACAAAAAAAAATTGTGGTAGGAACTTCAGTCTCTATTCAGAGATTTACTTGACAGCCAGCAGCCTGTCAAGGTTTTACAAGAGCAAGTCAGGATGCTCACTGAAACCATTTACTTTGTCCTGCTTGAAATCAGGCTCAAGCCACGACTTCCAAAGAAAAGATTAATCTAAGCTTTCAATTTAGTTTAAGTACTCTGCTAAATTAACAAAGTAAAAGGGACAGTTGCAAATTACAAGGAGCAGAGACAGCCATTTCTATTTTTCTCTACCTTGCAAGAAAGCTTAGGCACATTTTCATACAGAAATTAGACTACCAACATAAACACACTCTAATTTTTAAATTAGTTAGATAATCCATAAATTCATCAAGTATAGTGATGGTTTAGAAGGCATAACACTATCCTTTAAAATACTTTTGGGATGCATGCTCCTGGAATTTTAAGATGTAAGGAACTGTACTTAGCAAGACATAAGTTATTAAGTTAGGTTTAGTAATTCTATTTTTTTTTTAATGAATATACACATTTTAAAGACTTTTCTACCACTACCACAATTATTTCAAACATGAAAAAAATTGCAAATGCATACAGAAGATACAGCTTTGACCCGTGCTAACTTGAATACACTTAGGGCCTATTAAGTCCACCCTCTCCATTCTAGGTTTGCCTACAGCTACAGACTTGGCAACACGCCCCAAACCGCCTTGGGAATCATTACAGACTAAGTAGGGCCTCTCGTCTGGGAGAAAGCCTGGATGGGTTCATTATGGCAGCAGTTTTCTGGCAGTGGCTTAGCTCTGGAGCACTCCGTAGACTTCAGAGAGAGCCAAGTAACTACAAGACTTGCTCTCCGTAACTTGATCGCACCCACTCTCACGCTTGCATTCACACAATCTGAAGGCAGGCCACCCAACGTCTTCCCAGATTAGGCCCCAAGAAGTATTCAGGAGGAGCTATGGCTAACATATAAACACATATAAACCTACTTGGCTGTTCGGACGTCAATGGCACCCTTTAGCTTTTCTTCGCTGTCATTTTCAAAGTACATCAACCTGGACTGTCTGAGAACAAACCATCGTTTCTTCCAGTTCCTTCTGGAAAGTGTAGATGATCCACCCCCTTTTTTGTGAAGCCAACCCTGCTTAAGTGCTTCCTGCTTGGAACGAAACCACAGGAAGGTCTCATCTTTCAGGACACACCAGCGTCGCTTCCATGTGTTTATTAAGCCACCTGGCAAGAGAGACAGATGTGGGTTTATACGTAGTTAAGAGAAACAATTATATTGTAAAAAAGAGGCTGTGACCAAACCAACGCTGGAAGATGCTGACCAACAATGCTGTACTTCAACTGAGTCTCTGTTATAAGGCACAGAACTAAAGTTCCCATTTTTGCGTATACTGAAGGCCACCGATGATGTTGGAAACCTAAAGGCCCTTAAACCACAAATTATAATAAATGTCTATGTACAAAACCATATATGCAACAGATATATAATTAGATATACTTACACATAACATACACAATAATAAATTAGTAAAAAGTTGTACTGTGTATGAGATCTTCAACACCATTTTCAGTGTATCTCTTCAGATAATCTAAGAAAAGTTTAGTGTTAAGCTCTTTCCTCTCTCCAGCTTTCTGAAATACCTATGGTTTTTATAAAGTAATAATGTTCAACTCAAACCCACAAGGCCCGAAAAAGCTGTACTTACAGGAGGAAATACCGCAGTGCGAGCTCAGTTATACCACCGCCTGCGTACACTGAGCCTTGACTACTGTCTCGACCTTGTCAGTGTTGTCAGAGTGGACAATACATCTCGCACTGTAGTTACAGTAGCGAAAACCTTAGCCAATATGGTCCTGTTATGCCACAAAAACTTACTGTTAATGATGCCAGAAGGTAAAAGCCATGCCAGTGATCACTGCGTGCATTATTTTTCATGCAAACATTGCTGTGTGCACATTCATCAGTGTTCCTATGCCAGGAAAGTAAGTTATGCTGCAGTCATGAGTATCAGAGATTCATCTGGATCATAATTTACCACCAATCATCCGCAGACAGAACCAAGAGAGCACTCTTGTGTATATTCTTTCAGGGTCTCTCACAGCCCTTTGCTACACGTATCCTTCTCTGGGTCTTTTGGATCCCAAATGAACGTCAACTGAGGTCAGTAAAACTGGTCTGTGATGTGGAATGCTGTTTATGTTATAAGGTTTTGGGAGAAGAAAACAGCTTTCCTCAAAATCTGGTACAATTTGACTTTGTGGGTTATTTTGCTATATTTATACTGGATATTCCATTATTTACGAGCCAGCAAAGATGTAAAATGAAACAGAGGCAGCCCAAAACGTTGATATTTCTTTGCAGATGGGAAAAGTGCTGCCAGACATAAGCCACTGAAAGCAACTTAATTTGAGAGCAGCGCTCTCCAGACTTTTCTATTACCCTTTAAAAAATTAGAAAACAGATTAACCCTATGGGAACTGGAATGCAAGGCATAATAAACGTTTCTGGCTATTTCGTATACTTGGCAAATTCTGATTCACCCCGTACCTTTCATGTACAGAAAGCTGTGAAAGTAGGGCAGGCTGACACAGCTGTAGACCGAATCCCTCCGGTAGGAAAGTTCATCATCCGTATCAAACCTGGAGTCAAAATCTTCTTCACTGTCTTCAAACTACAGAAGAAATGAATAAAGGTGAAACCATCTCTCAGGAAAGAGTTTAGATGGAATTGGTTTAGAAGTCTTCAGCTAAAACATTTTATGTTGTATTAGAAGGACACGATTCCTCATCCGTTTTCACCCAGGTCACAACGGAAGGAGTACGCTGCAGTTAAGCTGCAGCCAGTCCTGTTCTATGACACACTAATGTCACGTAGCAAATCCATGAAACAGCTTTATAGCCACCCGGGGAAGTTGTCCCTTCACAAGAGCGCGGCCAGGGCAGGCTGCCCTGTGCTACCTCCCTCCGTCACTGAAGTGTGGTGGGTAACAGCTTAGAAAAGCCTTGAAAAAGAAACATGGCACAGACTGTGGCAACGGCTTTCCTCCACCCTCAGCCCAAATAACCAGAACTCCTGTTCCGTATCGGACTCACACCCAGAGCTGGGCAACACGAAGGGGTCCTCAATAGAGACAGTGTTTTCCTTTTAGGCAAGAACTGCCAACTTATCCCAGCGACCACCATAGCTCTTTGACCGGCTTCCATAGCCTCGACTGTAATAGATATTTTAGTGTTACCATGTTCCTTCCTAATTCTGTGAGTGGCAGGGGGAATCATATTCTTCCAAAAATATCTGTAGGAGTAAAGCCCACAGTACACTCGGGAAGCACTGAAAAAGAGCTCCTCAGTATGAGTATCTGGCCTCATAATTTTTTTGTATATATCTAGTTTTAGCCATCTTGTGAAATTTACTCTCCAATTCATCTCAAAAGACACCTGGCATTTCAGGGACTTCTGCAAGCAGCTCATTCCATACTACTGCAACTTGCATGCATAACTGAATCTGTTTTTTCTGAAGTCAATTCCCCACCATGCTACCTGGTGCCCCCTTCCCCATTCGAAACACAGACAACACAGAAGAATTTTTGCTTACGAATCGCATGCAAGGCCACGCACTGAGCTCCTCACCAAATAACGTGCAGTTCTGCATTAAAGCAGAAAGAACCATACCCCTGCATAAGCCCAGGACTGCAGGCAGCATCCGAGCTGCCTCTAACCCTAACACACTCACCCCAGTGGCATCTTGAAGGCAACAGCCAACTGTGCCCACATGTGCTGTAAGACAGCAGTAAGAACGGCTACATGACTCTACGGCTGCAGAGTGGAAAAACATAAAGAATCAGAAAGCACATATCCATTATTAGACAATAAACCCACCGATACTTACAGAAGACTGAGCTCCTTCAGAGCTGAAGCGGTATGCTCCAGAGCTATTGTATGTCCCCACTGAGTATCGGTAGTCCGGTGACCACTGGCTACTGTGCGAATTAGAGAAGGTCACACTGCTACCAGAAGTGATAGCACCATCTTCATAATCGTCTTGGTCGTAATCGTAGTCTCCATCGGGAGAAATAAGTTCCACAGAGTCTGGGGGTCTACAAGACACGTTTTCTGGCATGCAGTATGTGGATTCGCCACCTGAAGAGTTGTGCAGACTGACTGTCTCGTGGGTAGGAGGTATGAGCATGGTGTTGCTAGCACACAGTATCATTCATGTAGGGATCCTCTTCTGAGGAATCATCACTTGTTCTGATGCCACTGGTCCTTTGATCAGAGTGGCCATGCTCACTTGGGTTGGGCGAATCCTTAAATGCATCGTCATCAGCTTCAAAGCCCTCATCTACCTCCTCCTCGGGATATGGCTGGCTGAAGTTAAAATTGGGCTTTTCACTGCAGGCGTTTCCAGCTTGTTCAGTCAGCTCAGCAGGATACCCATTGCCTACAGAGAGAGACATCTCGATGTTTCGGACACATTCATCAATCTCATCAAAGTTCAGAGATTCCAGGAACTCCTGGGCTGCTCGACATGCTTCATCCTCCAGCCGTCGGAGTTCCTCATCTCGAAGCTGCTGC